TTACAGAGATACAGGAATTCTATTGAACATAAAATGAGTATAATGAACTGCTATCACGTCCGTCTTGGAGTGGAAGAGGGCGGGGGGGGGGATCCCTCCACGCTGACCACCGCGCACAATGACCTCTTTTGACCTGCGGGCTTGCCACTTGGAATTCTGCAGGTGCGTGTGCCACTTTTTGGAAAGGAGTTGATCAAGTGTTCTTTTCGACTGGAAGACGTTCCTTGAAACCAATAAAAAAACTCATGTACACCATTTGGCCTAAGGCTTTGGACCTGATTCACATATAAGATTCATATATAGACATACATACGTCTACATAGATACATATGTACGTATATATATATATATATATATATATATATATATATATATATATATATATATATATATATATATATATATATATATATATATATATGGTGATATACATGTATATACATATGTATATATACTTACACACAAATATATACATATAGACATATTATATGTATGTATCTATACCTACATATATACACATATATTTGTATGTATGCATATCCTTTTCTTGACCTTTTTATGCGTCAACTCCTGGGATCATGTTGCCAATCTTCACTTATAACCTTTTTCAGTTCTGTTGCACGATTATGGTGTTGCCTGAGGATTTCACTGAGTCTGTCTCAAAAACTTTTTTTCTTCAAAAATCGCGTTCATCTTTCGTGAGGCCGAGCCACCTGACTGAATTTAGGCACGAACTCTTGGCTTCCGCGGCGGCCTCGCGGACCGGCGCGGCGGGGCGCAGGCTCTCCAAGTGGCGGCAGCACAGGCGGCTGCTGGCAGGTGCCGTGGCGACGCCCGTCGGCGAAGGCGGGTCGGCAGCCGGGCGCCCGCTCCGCCCCGCCCTTCCCTCTCTGCTTCCCAGCGGCGCCGTCTTGCCAGCAAGTCGCCGCCGCTTCCAGAGGGGGAACAGGCCTGATCCCGCAGCCGCTGTGCAATGCCGGACGACCCAAGGATGCAGCTGCACCGACGCTGCATGTGCGCCGTCGCCAGCACCACTCGCGGGCGGAGGAGGCCCAGCACGGGGACGCGGGCGGGCGGAAGTGCCAAGGGCGCTCGGCCAGCTCCTTCGAGGGCGTGAGAGTCCTGTCTGGGTGGTCCAGACCGGGGCAGACAGACGGATAGACAGACGCAGACAAACAGACGGACGGACGGATAGACAGACGGACGAACGAGCCTAGCGACGCCCGCGGCCAGGCTCAGGCTACCCACCCACCCACACGCCGGGGAGGAACCAGCGGGCCGCCACGCCCCCCTAGGCCGCGCGACACATCTCCTTCTGGGAGCGACAGCAGTTCTTCTGGATGTAGCGGTGGCCGCAGTAGCGGAAGCCGTAGGAGCGAAGGAACTCCTGGCACGTGAGGCTGCCGGCGATGTTGGCGATGCGGTCCTCGCACTCATTATCTGCGGGGGAGCGGGTCAGTGCGGGCGATGGGGCAGGGTGGTGTGGGGGACGGTATGGTGCGGATGGTGAAGGGCGATATGGTGTGACGATGAAGGCGGGGCGATGGGGCATGGTGGTGTGGGGACGGTATGGTGCGGATGGTGGCGGCTATGGGATGTATATGATGGAGGATAGGCACGGATGGTGTACATGGTGATGTATATGGAGGATAGGCACTGGGATGGTGTGTATGGTGATGTATATGATGACGGGTAGAAGTAGGTATGTTGTGCACGGTGACGCTAAGGGGCGGTGTGTGTGATGAAGGCTAGAGTGGGTATGGTAATAAGGTAGGATATGTCTTCAGTGATGTATGGTGACGACTAAGCGCGTAGATGGTGATGGGGGAAAAAAAGAGTTATACTAGTTGGTATATGGTGACGGAATGTGGCGGATAGGGGAAGATCTATCTCGACTGGTATATTAACGGCTACAGTGTCGAGTGGTGTATTGTGTATCTACAAGCCGAGATATGTAATCCATGTCTTTATATATGGTGACTTTTAAAAACTGATGGTGGAAAGGATGGAATATGATGACAATTAAGGGCGATATAGTGAACATGATGAGGATGGAGTACTACTAACGGAAGGCTTATGGTTGTGGGTATGGTGATGACGAAGAGGAGGATGGTGAAATACAGTGCATGGTGTTTTATGAGCGGTTTATCGTACCTGTCGAAAGAGATACAGTGATGGCGATAAATATACATATGGTGATTGTGAAGGCAGATACAGTGACGATAGTGAAGATGGTGCACTGTGGGTGGTGTATGGTGAAAAAGAAACCTGGTTTGTGTGAAGCGAATTTATGTGTTAAATATGCGTTTATTTGTATGAAGGAAACTGTGTCAGTCTAGAAGCAGGAGCTATGTTCTATGTTCTATGTTCTATGATATTATAATTAAAATAAGAGCAAAATATAGTACGAAAAAGCTCTAATCTTACACGCTAAAAGATTACGAACATTTATATTCAAAATGTTAAACGGCAGCGTAACTCATGATGCATAATATATCTAGCACAAAATAGCAATTTAATTCTAGTACAAAATATGTCTGTCACTTAATATCTATTCTTATCTATTATCTAGTGCTAAATTAGTAAGTTTTATGCTATCTATATTATCTAATCTAGCAATAGCAAGTCCAAATTTATATCATCATACGATAACAAATTCCCACAAAGTCTAACATTGCCAATTGTTACTTTCTGTAATCCAACAATACCTATTTTTATATATATTTAATCAATATATGCTAAACTGCCATTTTCTATAACTTATTAAGCTTAAAAAAATATATATATTATAAAACAATACTAAATCCGGTCTTCCGGCCTCAATAAAACCATACTCCCATTTTATGTTTTCAAACAATGAGAATTACCATCTTCTCCCATCAAATTTCCATATTCTGTCACTGGTCGATGAAAATTCCCATATTGCACAATCAACTAACGCCAATTTCCCATAGTCTCCCATCTAAATCTAAAATTCCCATATTCTGTCATCACACAATGCAAAGGTCCCATTTTCTATAAAGAAATATTTTTCTACCGCCTTACAATGTCAAATTCCCATTTTGTACCATCATATAATGCAAAGTTCCGATTTTCTACCATGAAATAAAGCCCATTTCTACTATCGAACGCCAAATCCCCATTTTCTACCAACAAATAACGCCAAATCCCCATTTTCTACAACTAGCACTACTAGCATCCAGCGTCTTACCACTATTCGGCTTCACTGAATCTATAAAGTTTTTCTTGAGGCTCTTGGGGGGTGAGGGCGTGGTGGTTGTGGTTGTGGTGGTGGTTGTGGTTGTGGTTGTGGTGGTCGTCTGTGGGGTGGTATTGCGGTCGTTCCATCTAGTACGGTCCCATCTGTTCCACCAGCTGGACCTGGTAGGAGGAGGCTCGTCTTCAGTATGGGGTACGGGGGCAGGGGAGGAGGAGGAGGAGGAGGAGGGGAGGAGGAGGAGGAGGAGGGAGGAGGAGGAGGAGGAGGGAGGAGGAGGAGGAGGAGGAGGAGGAGGAGGAGGAGGAGGAGGAGGAGGAGGAGGAGGAGGTGGAAGGAGGAGGGGAGGAGGAGGAGGAGAAGGAGGGGGAGGGAGAGGAGGAGGAGGAGGAGGAGGAGGAGGAGGAGAAGGAGGAGAAAGAAGAAGAAGGAGGGGAGAAAGGGGAGGAGGAGGAGGAGGAGAAGGGGAGAAGGGGAGGAGGAGGAGGAGGAGGAGAGAGGGAGGAGGAGGAGGAGGAGGAGGAGGAGGAGGAGGAGGGGAGGAGGAGGAGGGGAGGAGAGGGAGGGGGAGGAGAAGGGAGGGGAGGAGGAGGAGGAGGAGGAGGTGGAGGAGGAGGAGGAGGAGAAGGAGGAGGAAGAAGAAGAAGGAGGGGAGAAAGGGGAGGAGAGGAGGAGGGAGAAGGGAGAAGGGGGGGGAGGAGGAGGAGGAGGAGGAGGAGGAGGAGGAGGAGGAGGAGGAGGTGGAGGAGGAGGAGGAGGGAGAAGGGGAGGGAGGGAGAAGGGAGGGGGAGGAGGAAGAGGAGAGGAGGAGGAGGTGGAGGAGGAGGAGGAGGAGAAGGAGGAGAAGAAGAAGAAGAGGGGAGAAAGGGGAGCAGGAGGAGGGGAGGGAGAAGGGAGAAGGAGGAGGAGGAGGAGGAGGAGGAGGGGAGGAGGGGAGGAGGAGGGAGGTGGAGGGGGGGAAGGAGGGGAGGAGGAGGAAGAGGAGGAGGAGGAGGAGTAGGTGGAGGAAAAGGAGGGGTGGGAGAGGAAGAGAAGAAGAAAGAAGAGGGGGGGGGGGAGGAGGAGGAGGAGGGGGAGGAAAAAGGAGGAGGGAGAGGAAGAGAAAGAGGAAGAAGAGGGGAAGAGGAAGAGGAGGGGGGGGGAGGAGAAGGAGAGGAGGTGGAGGAGAGAGGAGGAGGAGGGGAGGAGGAGGAGGAGGAGGGGGAGGAGGAGGAGGAGGGGAGGGGAGGGAGGGAGAAGGAGGAGGGGAGGGAGGAGGAGGAGGAGAGGAGAGGAGGAGAGAGGAGGGGAGAAGAAGAGGGGGGAGAAAGGGGAGGAGGAGGAGGAGGAGGGAGAAGGGGAAGGGGAGGGAGGAGGAGGAGGAGGAGGAGGAGGAGGAGGAGGAGGAGGGAGGAGGAGGAGGAGGGGGGGGGGGAGGGGTAGGGGGAGGAGAGAAGAGGAAGAGGAGGAGGAGTAGGTGGAGGAAAAGGAGGGTGGAGAGGAAGCAGAGGAAGAAGAAGAGGGGGAAGGGGGGGAGGAGGAGGGGAGGAGGGGGGAGGAAAGGAGGAAGAGGAAGAAAGAGGAAAGAAGAGGGAGAGGAAGAGAGAGGGGGAGAAGGAAGGAGGAGGAGGGAGGAGGAGGAGGAAGAAGAAGGAAGAGTAGGAAGAGGAGAAGGAAAGGGAGGGCGGAAGCGAACAGAGAGAAAAAGACAGGAAGAGAGGGACAGAGAAGACAGACAAAGACAGACAGACAGACAGACAGACAGACGGACACAGAGACAGAGACAGACAGGCAGCCCGAGAGTTAGTATGTGAAGTCAGTCAGCATGAAAAATGAAGTGAAATTTGTTAAGTGAAAAAGTGCAGAGAGCTGGAGCTTAAAAAAAAATAAAGAAAAAAAACATGCAGAGTGAAAAATATGCTTAAAAATAAAGATGAAAATGAAGAAAGTGAAAAATAAGCAGAAAAGCGATTACTGACATAAATATTGCAGAGCAGTTAATGTGAATTAAAGAGAAATTGTTCTTATAAAGCGTGAAAGAGAAACAGATTTTTAGTTAGAGACTGCAGTAATATATATTCTTTTATTTTTATTTTTACGTTAAACTAAAAGCTCTTTTTAAAATTCCATATAGTAAGCATGGCAAACGAATATATAATAATATATATATATATATATATATATATATATATATATATATATATATATATATATATATATATATATATATATATATATATATATATATATATATATATATATATATATATATATATATATATATATATATATATGCATATATATATAGGCAGATAGATATATTCATTAATAAGTATATATGCATGTATATATATGCATATAGATAACATTTATATAACTATAACTATATACTAATATATATATATATATTATATATATATATATATATATATTATATATATATATATATATATATATATATATATATTTGCACATATATTAATGGTCGTTTTGCTATATCTTCCGGCAAATACGTTGCTTAAAAACGCGCAGTGAGTGACATACATCAAAGCAGAAAAAAATTACCGTAAAAACTAAAGTCATATTCTACGTTTCACAATTATCAACTCACTGAAAAAAGACAGACATCCGCTGATAAAAAAAATATAAAGTCATTTACATAATCCAAACAGAAATAAAATGAGAAAATGGTAATAAAGATAAAAACCAAAAAAAAATATATATAATAAAACTCACCTAGCTGTTGTGGAAGAGGTGGGGGGTTCTGGGGTGGTGGAGGAGGGGGGGTCTGTGTACACTGGTTTTATCTGCGTCGACTCGAAAAGATAATGTTCACCGGACCTGAAAGTTGAACAAATATGAACATTGTGTCAGGGAGTGATTGATCAAGCTCTGATACGGCGTGATTGGGGCGGATTGGCGGGATGAGATTGGAAATGCTGAAAAAAAAAATTGGGTTTGTTGTGTGTGCGTGCGGCGGGTATGGTCTGGTGTGTAGGTGTGTGGGTGTGTGGTGTGTGTGTGTGGGTGTGTGTGTGTGTGAGTGCGTGTGTGTGGTGCGTGTGTGTGTGTGTGTGTGTGTGTGTGTGTGTGTGTGTGTGTGTGTGTGTGTGTGTGTGTGTGTGTGTGTGTGTGTGTGTGTGTGTGTGCATAATCGCCAAGGAAAAAAAATACATGTATATAGTTACGCAAAACAAAACTAATCATTACTATACAAGAGGATTAACAATCATAACCAAAACTCCACTATAACACCCACTACAAAACACCCCCTCTCCCCCTCCCCTCTCAAAAAATACCCCTCCCCCCCCTAAAAAAAAAAGAGAGAAAAAAAATCGGGGCCCTCACCTGTGCACATCAAAATCGGAGATGCTGTTGCCGTTATCGTAGACACATCGGCCGTTGCTGCAGATCTTCCCGTTGCCGCAGTCAGACCCTTCGGCAGCAGGACGGTAGGATACGCAGTACCCGCTGGAGGCGTCGAAGCAGAAGAGTTGGGCGCACACTCGGTCGTCCTTCTGCTCGGGGGGGGGGGAGAGAAAGGGAGGGGGAGATTAGCATCTTTTAGCATTTTTTCGGTAGTTTAAGGTACACAGCTATGTTAAGTGCTGGTATTTAATGTCGTTTTTTTAGCCTGTAATTATATACGCGATGTTTTAAGTGGATTAATGTAATTATGGAATCCCTGTGTATTCAACTGTGATAATTTAGACGAGAGAAGAAAAAGTTGACAATATGTGGCGAAAGCAACACGCCATGACGCTTTGTTGCTGGGGAACATTTTAGTTACTTTATTAGTTATTTATTTTTGGCCCTTGGATACAGCAACGGAATCAGTCAAAGATGACAGTTCCGGCAATATTAATGAACAGATTGAGAGTGCAATTATCTATTAAAACAAAGTGAAGGTGAGGAAAATATGAACATTAAAGAGAAGGGGAATGATTAATTTATGTTCAAGAAAATTCATGGGAACTGGTAGAGCGGGAGAGAGAGTCTAGGTTCCATCTCACATATATTTTGATTTTGTTTATGTTAATGGCTATTGATTTATAATTTGTAGGAAAAGGGAGGGTACAGAGTTAACCTTAGATATGAATTGTTAGTAGATAATATTGCTTGTTTATATTATAATATTTATGCTTAAGATTTACACTGTGATAAGCTTCCTGTTCATTATCATTTGTTTATTGAATAAAATGCTAATAGAAAAAAACATTTCTATAACAGAGGAATTAATTCATTCCACCCACGACCCTTAAGAGAGTTAAAGTCATGCTACCCAGAGTTTTTTCTCGAAATTTCCTCTAAGTCCTCGTGTCGTGACAGCATTACCGGGGATTAATTGCGATAATTAGGTTCATGGCCATGTTGTGGGATAGAAATTTCGAAAGGATTGTCTACAAATTGCAATTTTGAACCCACATAGTGAAATCACATAAAAAAAATAATAATAAAGTACAGTAAATTTAATAAGAATATATTTTAATATTTAGCATATGAAAATACTTTATGACATATATATTACACACACCACACACACATTATATATATATATATATATATATATATATATATATATATATATATTATATATATATATATATATATTACATACATACATATTGTGTGTGTCACTAATTGGTTCATGAGTAGAAAATCCCAAAATCAAGAAAACAAAAGCATCACAAAAACAAGACTCACGAAGCAGGCCGACGTCCCGCGGTCCTTCCTGCACTGGGCGTCGAGGGAGAGCAGCTTCCCCGGCAGCACGCGAGGCAGAGATTCGTCCTCGTGGGGCAGGTTGTAGAGGCAGGTCGCTGTGTCGCCGCTGTGGGAGGGGAGGGGGGGGGTGAGATTCGGTGTGCGAGAGTGTGTGCTTGTGTTGTTTTGTGCTTGTTTGTTGGTTTGTGTTTGTGGGTGGGGTGTGGGAGGGTGTGTGTGGTGTGTGTGTGTGTGTGTGTGTGTGTGTGTGTGTGTGTGTGTGTGTTGTGTGTGTGTGTGTGTGTGTGTGTGTGTGTGTGTGTGTGTGTGTGTGTGTGTGTGTGTGCGTGCGTGTGTGTGTGTTTATCCGTGTCTGTGTGTGTTATCCGTGTCTGTGTGTGTTTATCCGTGTTGGTGTGTTGTATCTGTATTTGTGTGTGTGCGTGCGTGTGTGTGTTTCTGTGTGCGCGTGTGTTTATTCGTGTGAGTGTTTTATGGATGATGTGATGGTAGTTTGGGTTTGCGGTTGAACTGTTGCAATGCAGTTTTTATTTCTGATCCAATATATGGCGACTGATAGTGTGTACGGGTATACAACTGGTTTGCGCACATATGATACACAGAGAATACACACACGCGCTCACACACAGAATGGAGGTGGTGAGGGCAGTGATATTTCAGTTGTCGTTGTGCTTCAGTATTGCAAATGGTACATGTGGTCCACATATGCAATGTACGCAAACACACATACACACACATTCACACACAGATACACACACGCACACACACAGGAAACACACACATACATACACACGAACACATACACACACACACACACACACACGCACACACACGCACACACACACACACACACACACACACACACACACACACACACACACACACACACACACACACACACACACACACACACACACACACACACACACACACACACGCACACACACAGATACACACACACAGATACACACCACACACACACACACACAGATACACACACACACACACAGATACACACACACACAATTAATCACAGACCAGATCAAATGGCCAGCAATTCGAACACGCAATACCATTTTTAAAAATCAGAACACTATATATTCATCAAGGTCAAATTAGCGACACAACTCACATTTTACTGTGATCTGGCAAAACTGTGCAATCTGTGCATTGTTTGAACTGCATCAAATTCCGCGAAAATATATAACCAATCAGAATTAATCTGTCAATTGTTCGATTCCCCTGACTAAAATGGTTAAACAAACTCACTACATTTTTTTAGCTCCGTATTCCAGTTTGAAAATTATTTTAAAAAGGGGTTATAGACTAAAATGAATAAATCTAAAATGCAGTGTTGTTGTACAATTTATATTTAGTTAATTTAACCTCAATATCCTTATATTGTGTTCACTTTATTCTAAATCGATGTTCAATCACACACATATTACACTCCGAACGGAATTCTACACAAATCCGATAAACTTGCACATAAACAAGATGAAATTATTGATACAACAAACTAGACTTTTGCCAAAATACAATAAGTTTAAATAAATCAACGCCGGAGGTAATTTTACTCATCTGCGTCCGATTCTCTGGACGAGCCCCCGACTTCGGCTTCGGGAATTTCGCTATTATACTCATTTCAAGAAAAAAAGAGACATCATTCCTTCACTTCTTTCACTCTTTAAAAAATGAATCCTTCCCACTTACTTCAGGAAGTGATGGAACTGTTCCACGGAGCAGGAAGACCATCTGAAGCCTTTTTCCGTGTGTCGGAGGTCGCTCATGATGTAACCGTCTTCCCAGCGACATCTCCTCGCCCCCGGACCCCCCAGGTAGGAGGGGGGAGGGGACCCGTCGTGCACGGCGCCCAGCCTGGGGAGAGGGGGGGGGTAATGTCAAGGTTGATGTGGAAGAACAGATAGATAGATAAATAGATAGGTGGGTAGGCATAGACGCAGACAGGAATAGATAGGTGGTATAGACAGGTAGATAGGTGGGTAGGTATAGAGGTAGACAGGTAGAGAGGATAGTTAGATAGACTAACTGATTTAGATTGGTTGATAAATTGATAAATATATGGATTGGGCAATAAACAGATTGAGGCTTTTGAAGATGACTGAATAGATAAGATTAAATAAAAGATGTGAGCCACCCAGAAATTATGGCATTATAATT